AAGTATATGGGTTTTGTTTCGGTCTATTCACATGTTCGCCCATTTAATTACCGATGAGCGTTTTTTTTTGAATTTTTGTCTTTAGAGACTCCAAAAGTAAATGACAAACAAAACAAAAATTTAAACTTTTGTATAATCGTAATGTAACAACAATTTTCACAATATATAATGCAGTGTTAAAATAAAACTTTTGTATAATTAGTCAAATTTAGTAGTGAAGTTGAACAGTTAAAATTTACTTCTAAAACTATTAAAACGTGATTTAGAACTGTAAATTTGAGTCCCTTTTATTTTTTCCGTGTGTTTTTTTGTTTTCGTAAATATGGATGTATATTTACATATGTATGGATTCTCTCTTCTTTTGGTACGTACTTCTTCGAGTTTTTTATGGTCTAAATGTTAAGATTTATACCATTTTCTGCTTTTACATTGTTATTTTGACAACTTATTACAAGAAAAATAAAAGAAAAAGAGAGAGCAAAGAGAGTTACAACAGTAGTTAAAATAGAGTACGAATGCAACCGAAATAAATCTGAAGAAGAACAGGGGAAAGTGCATTCCTAGCTGGGAGCGATAAGAGACGATCTCAGATATGTCTGTCAATCGCTGAGCATATTGTTGTTGCCGGTGTGGATGTAGATGTGAAGATCCGACTGTTCCGCTCCTTCCAAAGACTGTAGATGGTGGCTTGAAAGGCGAGCTTGATGAGAATTGCCTTTGATGGTGGAGGTTGATTATGAGGGTGAGAGATCCAAGATACAATAGAGTTAAGATCAGCGGGCATGTTTTTGTTTTGTAAAGAAGCAATTAAAGAAGAGAATGGTCATGCGCCACAATACCAGAAGAGCATAGAATGCATGTTGGCTGATACATTCATTCCCCACCGTCGCAGCCTATCCTTCGTTGGCAACCTTGAGAGCATTACCATCCAGGCTATAAACGAGCAGCGAGGAACAGATTCCTTAAACCACACTAGTTTGTGCCATAAAGCAGGTGGAGATTGATCTCTAAGATGCTCCCAACACTACAAGAAAACATGTGGGTTTTTGACCCTTTTTTTGTGGTCAAAAACTATTTTGACCTTTTTTTGACCAATTTTACATGATGTTTGTTTTCGTTGTAAATTGGTCAAAAAATTATGACGCAATATAATAGTCGAAATTTGGTCAAAAAATTTTGACCAATTTTTGACGGATTTATAAATTTGTCAAAAAATAGTCGGAAATTTGTGACAAAAAAGATTGGTTGATAATTGGTTAAGAAAACAAGTTAATTATTGACCGTGTTTTTACCAGTATACTGGTCAAAAAAATTGTTGACAAATTTTTGACCAAAATATTTTAAAAATAGAAATGGTTGAAATGTAGTCAAAATATGTCGACCAAGTATTGACCAATTAAAACCACGGTATCTCTATAATATTAAAACAGAAGTACATTTAACAAAATATCCAAAATTCATTCTAATATTACTGAAATTGCCATTATTTTTAAACTAAA